TGCTTTGTCACTGCTTACGTCAGTAACGAAATAGCTTGAACCATGCAAAAAAATACTTATGGGAGACATACGACAGTAACTGCTGATTATTTACTTTTGCAAAATACTATCACTGTCTGGGAAGATAGCTTCGTTACCGCGCCCTTGTCATGCCTCTACTAGTCTTTGCTCCAGTGCTCAAAGCATAAGATTCCTAAAACAGGACTTACCACTAAGAACCGCTGTGGAGACGAACAAAGGCCTAAGACATTTGGAGGAGGAGTATTCCCTCATAAAATATTGTGTCAGAGTTTTGTAAATGTTAACAACGAAGCCGGTCAGATGGTACTTTTCTCATCTTCAAAAGTACCTTACATGCACAGCGGCAATCAATTGTGCATGAATTTGTATAAAGAACAGCAGTCGTCGCATTATCTCTTTCTGCGTCCAACAGTTCATGACGGCAAAAATACTTCAAATTAGGCGTAAGTGAACGTTTGCGCAGTACCTACGAAAATTATACGACCCGTCTGCGTTCGTCACATACGTCCAGGCCACTGACTCCGCCAAATGACACGAAGTCGTCTAGTGATCCGGGCCCAACGCACCAGTCATGCTGACATGGTCTGACGAGTTCTCCATCTGGTGGACTAGTGACTGGAAGTGGTAGTTGGAGCGAGAGCAAACAGTGAATTCGTCGAAGTTATTGTCAATCGTGGGCCGGGGTTTGCGGCGTTCTCCTTCTGGTGCCGTGGATGCTCTCTGGCCAGAATAGATGGAAACCGAGTTTTACAGGGCGGTTTGAATAGTCAATAGGGGTTTATTTTGCTACAATATTCTTTTTGTGGCGCAGAAGGCAACTTTATTGTGTAAACAGTGCGGTGAAAACGAAGGTGTTCAAGAAAGACAGTCTGTGCTCCGAACGTCATATGACAATTCAGAACAGTTGGCACCACTCAGATTTTCCATGAAAATTCTTGGCGATACTCGAATTTTGCGTGTACACTTCTTTGCCATCCACTTCCAGCGCTCGGTTGGCTTCAAGGAGAAATTCATTTTTGTGACCGTTAGACTGTCTGCCGGTCTTTTTCAAACATTTCCATAATGTACTTGCGTGGCGTTGCTCGGCAAAACACTGTGGTTTTTTCGTCAGTTTGCCGAACAGAAGTGCCGTAAACTCTTCAAAAAGATCTTCGTCAAAGTTAACGAAAGCCTTTTTGATTGCATGCAGCACTCCCATGGCGTTTTTTGCAGCCTTGTGGCACTG